GCCTATGCAAAAGGGTGTGGGTGTGGGTGTGACAGGGCGTGGCTGGGTGTGGCTGGGTATGGCTGGGTATGGGTGTGCGTATGGGTTTAGATAAAAAAAAACTTCCTTTTCCACAGCTAGCTACACCCACACCCATACCTTATACTCACACCCTAGTTATTTTGATGCTCCGTCGATAGCATTTTATAAAATTTTGGCAATACTCACTCTTTTATTCTGTGCTTTATCAATCCATGAACTCATGGGTGACTCCATTTCACAGCATGTAATAACAAGTACCGAAGGAACACGTTCCTTGAGTAAACAGCGGATAAAAATATAATAGTTATCGTCAAATGAAGAATCTCTACGCCCTTTTCGCATGACGAAAATAATGCAATTGAAACCATGTTTGTTATAGTTGACAAATTGAAGCAACCTAGTCAGTGTCTGTTGCGGACTAATATGATCACGTGAAGATCTGCTGAGTCCTACCGTGTCAATAAATTCATACTGAAATTCTTTATGTCGAATGCTGGGAAATGAGAAATCAAGTGTGCAGCCAATTGCGCTGTCGCTCACTTTAGCAGTAGGTTTGCAATTTAACAGGTTGATCAAACTGCTTTTGCCACTTCCAGCTATTCCAATCACCAAGATTCGCCTCGTCATATTCGTGGGTGGTATCGATGAAGTGAAGTCAATCTCGATTTTTTCCTATCAATGATCTTGTTGGAGTGGGCTGATGATGGACTTGGGCCTTTATCTGTACTAGCTTCCGATTTTCTCTATAAAAAGCGATACAAACTCATAGTTAATGCTCCTTTCATTTAATACAGCATCCCGTGAAAATATCAAGTCTAACGGAGTTTTCATCGTGTTTGTTTTTATGCTGTGATTCTCATTGTCATGGATACAGTAGAAACACTGGTAAAAAAAACAAGAGAATTAAAATAAATCATTTCAAGAAAAAACGAATCATGCGACTGTACAACAGGATTGAATTGTGCCTCCGTCAATTTTAAGAGAAGAGAGAGAACGGCGAAAAAGTCGAAACACTGAATACATTAAAACGCGCTGTCAGGTAATAAAAAAGAAGTAGACTGTGGCTTATGTTTGTTTTCACATTGTACTGTAACATAATGGTATCCTTAGAAATCATCTTTGCAATGAAATTACAATCGTTGTTAAGACTTACTACATCGCTAAAAAATATCCTCGATTCAGTATGAAACCTACTCTGTTGTCAGAGCAGACCGCTACTTATATTTTTTGTATATTTAAGTCGGTTTTGTTGAGGTACTGACGTTTTCCCATCTACTGAGTAGATATACACGAGTCGGAGTGCGGGTGTGGGTGTTGGTATATAAAATAGGGCGACCACACCCCAAAATACTCGAAGTACTCGTACTCAATAGTGTCGAGCTTGAAACTTGAAACTTAAATTTTCAGCTTTCAGCTTTCAGTTAGTTAATCTCTAAATTAGTGATTTTTTTATATTTCAAGTAATCATTTGTGACATTTCGCAACCATAAAACAGACCACAGGTATTATGAAATCCCTAGGGAATCTCTTCATGGCATGTCCATTTTTCCTCATCAGTACGGTGAAGATAACGACCTGAATATGTCTTGGTTACTAGTTGGCCAAATGTCACACGCAAACTAGAGAACCCATGTATGTATATTTACTCTACAGTTCCTTAAGATCAGATCCAAATTAAAAAGATACTCTTGCTGCAACCTTCACTGCCGTCGGTTATGACCCAAGTGAGCAAAATAAATGGGGTGTACGGGCGACATGACTAGTCCGAAAAGTCTGTTATCCCAGTCAAGTCTAGTCTAATACGCCTTCCATATATATTGTGACTAGTCCGTATGTCTTTTTCCCCGTCTGGACTGGTCCAAGATATTCCAGAGCATTCCTCTGACTGCTCTGCTTATTCATTTACCCGCATCTGGACTAGTCCATAGCAGGGGAAAATATTGTGAAAAGGTAGAAGAAAGTTGGATTCGAACATTAGAGACACTTATAATACTATTAAAAATCAGACTGGCGTCTTAGCGGTAGTCCATAATACAATAAGCCTTATGGCTATGTATATATTCTAAAGCTCAAGTGGGTGTCTTCCATATACGATGAGTGCAGAAATCACTTGATGAAAACTGATTCTCACTACTCGAAAATTCCTTTAATGGTAGTTACAAGGACTGTCCTAGGTTAATATAAGCTGTTGTATGTTCGTAAAGATTATTGTATTTTTTAAGTACATCGGCAGTCCGAATTCTGAATTATCTAAATATTAGAAGGAAAAAAATTGTTGAATAAAATGTCCTGCTGAATTGCTAAATTAATGGCTAGACCAAAACAAAAGCATAAGATAAAGTAACCACAGTTTTCAATTTATTTAATTCAATTTCATCTGAATAATTTTTGAATTTATAAAAAAAATATTTTTTATTCCTATGAAAAATTGAATAAAACTTAGAAAAAAATTCCTACTTTAAAGCATCTTAGAATGACTAAAGATACTGATAAATTGATCTCTCGATCAAATGGCTCAATGGTCTGAACGATGGATAAGTAATAGTTGGTATGTGTGTTCGAATCTAGTTGTAGTCATAAAATATTTCAGTTTAGACTAGTCAGGATCTCGTCATTATATAAGACCACAACTCGTCATGTAAAGCGTCATGGACGCTCTTACTTTTATTTAGAATCATATTTTNTATGTATCTCCGTAACTTAACACTTGTGTCCTAATCCAACGCCCAAAATATTCTTGTAACGGTGTTTAACTTCTTCGCTTAAGAGAATGTAATTACTTGGGCTCCTCAACAGAAAACGTGCACAACTAGATTTTATTGCGGCTAGAACTTACAGTGCAACAGATTGTTTTTGATAATCTTAAGTACTTCAACCATTACGATTTGTTATGACTACTATTTATTGGAAATATTTTGCTCAATGAAGAATACGATAAGCAGTGAAACAATTAATGATATAAGAAACGAAGTTCGGGCAAATGCTTCTACTCTAATGCACACGTTTTGAAATGAAATTTGAAGAGTATTTTACGAAATATTTTCGCTTTTCGACGCCTGAAAAGGTTTCACACGAAGCTCTACATGATACTAAACTCTTTTTACATTTCTTCTGTGCGAAGAAAACATTTTAAAGCGTAGTAAAATGCCGCCGAACCCTTTTTTCAGTGCATGCACTTTTTGTTGAAAGAAGTCAATGCTAATGAAAGAATACATGCCACTCCTAATACGCTTCAATTAATCAGAAAATAGCACCTTTCGTCATGGATAAAAAGAAAACAGAATAATAGTATTTTATGAAATGCTATTGCCATTTAAAGCTATTATCATCGGCAATGTCTGTCCTTTACTTTGTTGTTTTCGTTCTTCAATGAGACAGTTAGCGAATTTAGGACGAAGCAATTTCATATAAAATTGACTACCCAGTCAGACAAGTAACGAAAAAATCGGCATTTTTATGCGGTAGAAGCGCATCTTTTAACGAGTTAAATGAATACTTTTTTGTGAGAAGAAAACGAATCGATATATGTTAATGCTTTTAAACTTGTTTTTAGTCAAAATAATTTTTTTTAACATGTTAGAATGTGCGCTTTTAACGCATGAAAACGTCGATTTTTTCGCTACTTGTCTTACTGGGGAGTGCAGTTTGGACAATCGAAATTTAGTTCAATTTACTCTTTAGTAGAAATAACGTCTCTAAAGACTGAATTGAACTCGGAGAGTTTTTGTTTTGTAGGACACGAAAATAATTACAATTATATACAATATTTACAAAAAAGTGAAGACATTTTCGACTGCACCTTGGACAAAAAAGTATCCGAGTTCTCAGATGCCGGAAACGGAGGGAACCGACTGGATTCCGATAACAGAATCCTATAGGGTCCGACAGCCTAGTTTCATCGGATTCGGTAATCGGCATAAGTCGAAAGTTATCGGTATTAACTGGCATCCGATCAGAATCATGTCGAATGCAGCCATCGGAACTCATCGAATTGAAATACATCCGATAAAATCCGATTGCCGACTTTTGACTTGGGCTTGTATGAGTTAGCATCTGTTTGAAAGTTGAAACTTCAAGTTTCAGTTGAATTCGGACATCAAGTATTACATATATAATCAGCGTTGATGATCTCACTCTCGTCAGAAAAGTCTATTTATGCGCTTTCGTGGAGCTTACAAAAAGGAGAGGAGCCAAGGTCGAGCAATCACATTGTAAGATCTGATAAGGTCTTGCATCTGGTCTGATGTGATCTTGCACGATCATACGAAAATCATACAAAAAATCGTAGTCTCTGAGATCTTAGATCAGGTCGAATAATCAGATTCTTCGAAGATCGTATTAATGTGAAGATCTTTCAAGAATCTTATTGTGCGAATTGATCTAAGATCTCAGGAACTACGATTTTTTGTCAGATTCTTGTAAGATTTCGTCCGTATTCCAAGATCTTGTATGTATTTCATAAGATCTTGTGTCAGATTTTTCGACCTGAGTATACCAAATTTTAATCAATTTAGAATATAGGGGCGATTTTGGCTTGTTATGCCCCCCCCCCTTCATTTGCGTAGAAAAGCTGTTAGCGCAATCCCTGTGGGATTAAAATNAAAAAGGATAAAAAAATCTGCGAAATCTTTAAAGGTTCTTAATCTGTGCCCAGGTTAAGAACCTTTAAAGATTTCGCAGATTTTTTTATCCTTTTTTTGAAACTTTGGACACCTTTATATGCTTTTAGAAATCTCCGGAACCTTTTTTGGGATTCAGTAAAAAAGCGATTTTTTTTAGAGTGTACCTTATATACTTCAACACTCCTTTCTGATCGCCTTTCACAAAATAGGGAAATTAGCTTTCACTAATAGACTTCGCGACTTTCACATTGTTGCTTCAAAAGGGATGTACTAATAGACGGCTTTTATTTAGACAAGCATAATGGTATTAAAAACAACAGTAATAATGATATGAGTTCTTGTTCATTGTTCTAGCTCATGGCACATTCGAAGTGGATCCTAATCGTCGGCTCGACTGGTGAAGGCAAAAGCAGCCTAATTAATTTGTTGATGGGGCGGGAAGTGGCTAACGTTAATGATTCAGCTGATGGTGTTACGATGGATTGCCAAGAATATGTCACCAAACATGCTGAAACTGAATACCATCTTTATGATACTATAGGACTACATGAGGCTGATGGGGGTAAGGTACCCCATAAAAATGCGATAGAGAAGCTGGTGGCTTTCGCTAAATCACACTCTGAAGGATTCAATCTGATTATTTTTGTCATGGCCAAAGGCCGTATCCGCCATGATTTCGAACAGAACCACCTTTTGTTCCATGATACCATATTTTGCAGTCAAGCACCTTCCATTCTATATGTCAACGGCTGTGAGTTTGAGAAACAAACAGGCAAATGGGTTACTGAGAATGCAGAACGCTTGAAGTCCTTCCAATTTAAGGATGTTGTCTGTGGAACCACCATGAAACACGCAGGCGAATTCGAAGAAAGAATAGCTCCGAAGCGGGAAGAAACCAGGACGGCTATATGGAATGCGATTGACCAGTTTAGTGCAGCAAAACGTGCTCCTATTACAAGATATCTGAAATGGTGGCAGAAAGCGATAAATATAGTTTTGAATGTTTTCGGACAGCCCCCACTGTTTCAGACTGAAGAAATGAACAAGTTCGCCGAGATTCTTCGTAAGAAAGGCGTCCGTGAAGATGTTATTAAAGAACTAGTGAAAACATTGCAATAACAATATTTCAAATTGCTCTTACTCTTAAGAAGAGAAGGTTTTGGGTGAAGTCAGAGTTATGCCCATGAGTTCCTCTCTGAGAATCCCATCCACCCAACAATACAGCTTTTAAACTGAAGATTAATTTTTTCTTCTGAATATATATATTTATTTGTACACTGTCGTCCGCCGCAATCTCAGCTAATGTCTAGCGAGAGTACTCATTTCAAATTCCAAGGTTTTATTCGATTACATAAATCTTACACCAGCCATAAATAAACAAATTGTGACGTAAGCCAGAGGTTCGACGACTATAGCACATTTTATTTCCAGTTCTGTTTTCTCTCTAGTGTCGATATTGCGAGCTTCCTATTTTTGAATGCCTTAGAGAGCAGCTCCTGAAGCATTGTCACAGTTTTTGACTAAACCCCCCACAATAAAAGACCCCGGGTCTTCTATTATGTTCCAGTGTAAAAAATTTCCAGGAGGTCTTGTATTAAGAACCACATTTTTTCCTAATATTTAATTTAAGAGGTTTTCCAGAAAACCAAGGTGATTTTCAGGATTTCCATCAGGATTTTCAAGGTTTTAAAGGTGTTATTATAATTGTGAACACATTCTCTTAATATTTCCAGCTTAAAATGCTAAGAATCAGACATATTTTGATGGGAAAACCCTAATTAAAGTTTGTAATTAGCAAAAAATTAATTAATTAAAGGGGAGTCTTTTTTATGTCGCACACACTTTTCTTCAGGGGTGGGGGCGAGTTACACAGACCCACCAGCTATCAAAATAGTGGTTTCTATATTGTAAACGTTTTTCCAAAATCAAACGATGGAATATATGGCTTTAGTTTATAATTATTTTATCTGGAGAGTAATCAACACATAGAATAAAGTGTTGATAATGCTACTGTGATGTGAATATACTTCTAATTATGTGAGTAATAGCACTATTTTAGTCTATTTAGAGCTTATCCTCGGCACCAATAATTTTAGTCTAACTGGCACCGTTGAATCGATATCAAGCTCTATTAATGTATGATCAACAGCCAAAAAACGGGCGTTTTTCACTGAGAGTCTGAATTCTCGATTTTTTGTGCTGTTGTGGGTTTAAATGTGTTTTTGAAAAATTTTGTCTGCTAAGGTAGATTTCAGATCAGTCAGCACAATAATGAACAGTTAGCTCCATCCTTCTTTCGTGAACGACGGCGTGTGCCTGGAGCATCATGATGATAGTTGTATCTATTGTGAGTTTATTTTTATTTACGAAAAATAGTCTGTTTTCTTGAATCATACTTTTATAGCTGCTTTCATTTGCGTATAAAAGATTCAACCAGTAACTAAAACGAATACACATGCTTTTGGCATTGCTCTGGTGAGCAATCGATCTATATTAATCAAAAACGTGTATCAAAAAAAAGTGCTGCACATTTGGCTGGAGCACGCTTTAGAAAATTCGCATACGAAAACAGATCCCAGAGTTACTTATCGAGCAATATCAAGTTCAACTCGCTAAAAGAGCTGCATTCCTAAATCTTCGGGTTATCATAAACTGTGGTAAAGATGATTGGTCACATGGGAATTATTGGAGTGAAGCTGTCTCGCATTCTTGATAAATATACTTATTACAGATGAAGCTATGTGTTATATATTGGTTTTACAAATATTCTTCTAGCTATTTCGGTGCGTGGAATGAATCAGTCTGTCTCTCTCTTAATCTTGGGTGTGGGTGTGGGCTTATTTGTCACTTTTTACTACAGACTAACCCACACCCACACCCCGCTATTGAATGCATTTAAGAAATATGAAAAGTGTGCATTTTTTGCATAATGATAAATTATATTTAGTTAGTTGTTTCTTTTTCTTTTATGCCATCGTGATTTTTGATCGTAGCATTAGATAGAGGTCTTCGAGTTCTATCTGGCACAGTAAGTTCAATAAGTGACACGGTTGATGGAACGCATCGTTTCAGGAAAAACTCGAATCTATCGCTAACTTCCCTCGCAGCATTAAAGTATGCTTCTTTGCTCGCGTTTTCCTTTCTGCAAATGCAATCAAATCGAAAATATGCACTGTATTCTATCTACAGTGTTGTAAAACGAGAAAAAAAACACATGGAATTAAGAAAAGCGCTTTCACTTTCCACTCAGAGTTGATGACTGTTGTGAAAACAGGAGACATTTTGTCACTTGTTATCATCGTTGGTATTTGCGCATAACACATAATTCTTTCAACGTTTCTCAATCATGTAAGATACCTTAAATTATACCATTTTCTTTCGAATTTCGCCTAGTAACTCCTTGATTCATCTGTATATTTTGTCAAACACGATCAAAAAGGAGTGTTGAAGTGGGTATGGTAGAAAATTGTCCCCATGCCCCGTCATCCCAATAGATCGCGACAAGAGTTTTAATTAGTTAAAATATTTTAATGTAATTAACTAATTAAGTAATCAATGTGAAACTATTTTAATTTCTGCTACAGACCGTGGCAGGTGCGCTTCGGGCCCTATCTGCCACGGCCAGTAACGGATCAAGATCTCGTCTGTCGTGGTCTGTAATACTCTGAACTTGGAACCAATCATAGATCGTGATAGACAGGCTCCAAGTATGATCACAGATCATAACAGACGGTTTCAAGGGACTATCAAAGATTATGAATAAGTAACATCTAATTGGAGCATATATTAAATATTTCCTAGTTGATGTTTTAGACTGCAAAGTAAGTCATGATACAGAAATCAGCCTCAATATACATAAGAAAGGTTAGTTTTTTGGCAATAAGAAGCAATAGTTACATCCTATTTCACATTTTTAATCCCACCAGGATTACGCTAACAGCATTTTAGATTAATGGCGACTTTAACGACATCAAGTGAATGTTCACAATGCTCGAAGACTAAAGCACAATGCACTTGTCGAGGATGTCAAGGCTCGTTTTGTACGAAGCATTTCAATGAGCATCGCCAACAATTGTCAGTGCGATTCGATCAAGAAATTGGTGAAGCTCATGACGAGCTTGTCCAACAAATAGACAAGCTCACACGGCAAAACAAAATTCATGATGATATTTTCTCTGAAATTGATCGATGGGAGACAAGAATGATCAAAAAAATTCAGCAAGTAGCGGAGAAGGTTCGTCGTCAAATCATCGAATTGGTCAGCCAAGGAACAGAGACTTTGAATGATGAATTAAAAGCTTTGACCAAGGATATTCGTCGTTGTCGGCAGGAAGACGACTTTGTTGAAGAAGATATCGAGAACCTTCGACAAAAAATATATGAACTACAGTCATCATTCGAAAAAACCACTGTTTCAAATGATATCGAAGTTATTGAACGAAAAGATCCTATTAAATGGAACCGTATGATCTATGCCAGGAAGCGTCAACAAATGCGTGAGTAAAGCAAAAATCGACAAATACTTCATTTATATGTGACCTGGCCGGATTCCATGAGCTCTGAGCACTTAAGTATTTCATAGCTCAAACAATGATCAAAAAGGATATAAAAGAATACTGAACCACAGAATCTGAACTTTTGAAACCAATTAAACTCATGGAACCCTCATAAACCAATCAGTTTATAGAATTTAAAGAAATCAAGGAACTTAAATTAACGAAATAGATCCATAAATTCCATTCGTTATAGGAGCTACTGTACTTTGTGACTGAGAAAGAAAAATGACACGTTACTCAGGCATGCCCACATTTACAGTCCTCCGCTACAACCAATGTTCACAGTCATTGATACATCGGTCTACATGCTCATTGACCTTACCACAACTATTAATGCTCTATTACAACGTAAAACCAACACCATCGTTTAAATCGATCTCGCACCACAAGTATCACAGACCTAAATTCCCAATATTATTGAGGGGTGTTCAAGGACTGTGAAATAGAAATTCTTCATCAGTTCCCTCACATTGCCCTGGATGCGAACATTAAAGCATACAACATTCATCCACAAATTTGTGTACATGGATGCTAGGGTACAAAAAGTACTTCAAAGAAAGCATTATTTTGACTTTCATGAACGGAAAAATTATGAGGGAACTGATGTCACTTCTTCGCTTCCTGAGGAATTATCATAGCGTCCCTGATAATTTCTCTTCACTTTAGGAATTTCAATCTCTCGGTTCTTGTCTACTGCGTAATAATTTGAAGTTTTTGAATAATTTTCCTTTCATTAATGCTTGTTTACCTTTTTAATCTTACGTGATAGATGCATGAAATTTTCAAAGTCGACGCAGAAATATTAACAAGTTTAATTAATGAGAGTAAGCAACCATTATTGTTTTGCAGACTATTTTGAATGTAAATGTTAATAAAAACTCATTTTCAAATAAAACTAATTTATTTCGATAGTTTTGAACCCGATTTAAAACGAATTCTGCCTAAGTTTAATTTTCTTCGTGACGTATTTGTGTAACATCTGATTGGAATACATCTGATTTGACTTCATGTTAAAGCTTTAGACTGAAAATTAAACCACGATATAGAAATATGCCTCAATGCGCATAAAAAGTTCAGTTATTAGACGATTAGCAATAACAGTTTCGTCGTATTTCACACGCACACGCACACCCATAACCACACCATGAAACTATTGAAAAAAGTTCTATATAATGTTATCAGCTAGTTGAGTATACAATATGAGAACGTTGCAACTCGTCACTTGACGAGTTTTTTTTCAGACAAAACAGGGCGTTCGTAACACCAAAAATAGAGATATGCGAGAAAACAGGGATATCGTAACGAAATTTACAGGGCGATCGTAAAGATTAATACAGGTAGTTCGTAACAGTTACAGAGCTTTCGTAATGAAATATATGTGGCAGGCGAGTTTGGAATTTAGTTGAGTTTGGAATAGCTCTTTCTTAATTTTTTTAATAGAATTTTTGTTGAGATCAGCCTTTAGAAAATTTTGTATTGATAATTATTTCTTTCATCTTTTTACAAGGTTTTCATATAAATTCAACTCTCTGTACATTTATTAAACTATGGAAACATGGGGACATTCAATTTATCTGAGAAAAATAAATTTTGTATTTTTATTTCTCAATGATAAATTCACTCTCTCTGTATTTTTTCAAACAATGGGGACATGGGGACATTCAATTTATCTGAGAAAAATAATTTTTCTTATTCATACAACTTTTATAAATCAAATATAATAATGTACTAAACATCCTTGTAATACCATCTGATGATTGATACAGAGGAGATTAATTATATTATGACTCATACCGGTAGAATTTAAACAAAACAAAAATTTTATTATTATTATTATTATACATAAAGCACAAGGTAATCATTTACCTATAATTTTTTTCATTCATTCGATTCAATTTACTAGTGAATTTTTTTTCTCCTTTTAAATATGTTTTATTTTATGAAACACGAGCAGGGGAAAAAAAGAAGAAATTCAAATAATTTTATTTCGCGCATTCCAATCTCAACTGAAATTCTCATGTCAACTGTAACATATATATTAGTCATGTCTCATTTATGTACAGAAATTACATGGATTTCGTAACGAATTTTACAGGACTTTCGTAACAGCTAAAATAGAATTTCTCACGGTATATTTCAAAGGACGTAAGAGTGTCAAATCAGGGCTGCCGTAACGAATTTTACAGGGAAGACGTAACTGTTCATACACGGTTATCGTACCAGAAAATCATAGTCTATTGAGTTAGATGTATAGGGCTATCAGACCAAAATGCCAGACGATCCTAACTAATAGTCTTGTCTCCGTAAATGAAGACAAGACCCGTTGTTGACTGAGATTTTCAACTTACTTTACTTCATAAAGAAACTTCATAAAGAAATGTATTAGTATATTTATCAATTATTATTCTTACTGAATAGTTCGTACTGCTCTTATGTAACGCAGTGACATCTATAGCTGTGTAAAGACATGAATAATGTACGTTAAACAGTAAGTTAGGTAGGATACCTGAAAAGTTGCGGACGTTCTGAAAGATGGTATATACTATAGTCATCTCACAAAGAATAATGGATATAAACATTCTTTCTGTAAAAAGCCTGATTTTTTTGTTACAAAAGCCCTGTAATTATAAATGTTCATATGCCACTTTTAAGTGCGATAGCCTTGTAATAGCCGTTACGATAGCCCTGTATTGTCACTTATATTTCTTCAGCAATTATCATACGACCGCCCTGATTAACCGGTTACGATAACCCTGTAAAATTCGTTACGAAATGCCTGTAATTGAGGACGTGATGTTTTAAAATGGTACGTATAAAATCACTGGTTACGATAGCTGTGCAAAATTCGTTACGATAGCCCTGTTTTTTTGTTACGAAAGTCCTGATTCTGCCGTTACGAAACCGCTGTTACGGGCTTTCGTACTGTCAATTCTTTACGAAAGCCAGACAAAAAAAAACTTGACGAGTTGCATCTTTCCCTACAATATCTTATACTGTTTTAAAATGCGGCAAAACTCAATTTTTCACTTGAATATAGACAAAGGAAGTGATGCCTGAGAAAAAGACTCATTTAGCTAATAGTTGGGGTGTGGGCATGGGCGAGGCTGTGGCAGGGTGTGGCTGGGTGCGGGTGTGCATATGGGTTTAGATAAAAAACATGCTTTTCCACACCTAACTACACCCACATACATACCCCATACTGCGATGTATGACCACTATGGCATACTGCAAGATATGCCTAGTGTAAACTTCTATTTATCTCTCAAACTCTAAATTCCTATATGCAGTCTTTTGTTTTCGGTCCGATATCACTACTCGGATGAATAATACACCCTACAGTGGCGCAGCTTCAATCTCTGCGACGTATTCACGAGTTTCCTCCAAGTAGAAGGCCTCATGATTTCCTCTTTTTTAACAAGTTTCTAAGGATTCGAGAGTTTCATGGGTCTGTGAGCTTCTTGGCTTTTGAGGGTTCCGTCACTTTCATTGGTTCCGAAAGTGCGGATTTTCGTGGTGTGGTATTTCTTTAATCCTCTGTAGTCATTGTTTGGATTCTGAAATACTCAAGAGTTGAGAACTCATAGAATCCGGTCGTGTCTCATTCTTTTCTTCGTGTGAATAAGACAATTGAATGAAACTGTTCCTCAAAAAGGGTTATTATTTTCATTTCAGTTTTACCCAGTATTCCTCTTAATGTGAAATGGGCACTCAAAGGTTGCACTATTGCTGGAGGTCATGGACGAGGTGATGCATTAAACCAACTAAACGCCCCTTTTAGCGTCTACATCGATGATAAACAGAGTATCTATATTGCTGACTGTGAAAACCATCGTATTGTGGAATGGAAACCAAATTCAACTGTTGGCGAAGTGGTGGCCGGTGGGAATGGATCTGGCAATCGAGCTAATCAGTTGTGCTGTCCTACTGATGTCATAGTTGACAAAGAGGCAAATAGTCTCATCATTTGTGATCGAGGAAATCGACGAATTATGAGATGGTCTTGCCAAAGGGGCACTTGTGGAGAGACTATCATTTCAAACATTGACTGTAGCAGGTTATCGATGGATAATCGAAGATCTCTGTACGTATCTGACTGGAAAAAGAATGAAGTAAGACGATTCGATGACGGCGGTACTGAAGGAACTATAGTGGCACGTGGCAGTGGACCAAGTGATCGTCTCAGTCAACCTACTTGCATTTTTGTCGACCAAGATCACTCAGTGTTCGTTTCGGATTACGATAATCACCGCGTATTGAAGTGGATAAAAGATTCACATGAAGGTATCATTGTAGCTGGTGGAAACCGAGAAGGAAATGATCTAACACAACTGTCTCATCCCCAAGGATTGTTCGTTGACCAGTTTGGTAGAATCTACGTATCAGATCAGAGAAATCACCGAGTGATGCGCTGGTGCGATTCAGCAAAACAGGGAGAGGTCATTGTTGATGCAAATAATACAGGAGATTCATTATGTCAGTTGAATCGTCCAATAGGCTTATCCTTTGATCAACATGGCAATCTTTATGTCGTTGATGGAGGTAACGATCGAGTCATACGATTTAATATGCAGCCAAATTGACATTATTTGATGTCAGCAAATATTGTTGACAAATCATTCCGTTTTCTGTTTTGAACACCGAGTTAAGGTACTAGTTCAATTGAATAAATTAAATTCTGGTTAGAGCGCTCCCAAAATAGGAGATGAATGTTTTCATGAATTGAAGCAGAATATTAGTCGAAAGTGCAGTCGTTTGAGAATTTATCGACTGTTTAATTTCTGTTTCTTACTTCAATGCCGTTTTTTTTGATTCATTAATTGATTTCATCATATACTATCCCGAAGAAAGTGAACTTTTTTTGAATAAATACCAACTTCACATGTAAAAAAATAGGGGTAAAATCAGATTAAAATCGATTTTAATTAGCTAAAATCGGTTATAATCAATGCAACAGTTGCTTCCCAATACTACCGATTACAACAAATTTTAGTTGATTTTTATCTGTTTTTAATCAATCACAAATCAACTAACAGCTGATTCAATGCAGCTGTGATGGTTTGAGATGACATCAGGCACATAATAGCATCTCATCAATCACTTCCAGTAACGTTGATTTACAATGAGCAAGATTAAACTTATTTTTACTTTCCTGAAAGTACTTTCGCAAGAATTCATCAGTATTCTCTAAACTACATTTTTCAGAATTTTTAATCTTGCAACAAAATATACTTATACTTCATTATTTTCTGCTAAACGAACTGGTGATACTGCTCTCCGAGAAAAAGGAAGACATCAATGAAAACAATCGCTATCAAAACGAACAACAAGTCTGAACATATTCCATTTGAATCAATGGAGAGAAACAAAAAATGATTTGGTTGGAAAACAAAATTTATCTTTAAAATTCGTTTTGAAGCGAAAGGAAGAAATAACGAAAAAACAAGTCAGCTTTATATTAAAAGGAAACTCGTATTATAGCCCAGGAATGTGGCGGTTTTGTGCATTCAATTATTTTTGTGGGAAGTACTGCAAAAAGTGTTACAATGTTTTTTCTTTGAAAGGGGTTTGATGTTTCTGGTTATCGTGTATTACATCAGATTTTCTATGCGATTTTCGAGATAATTGAATCGTTGTTCTAAATTCAAACCAGGTCATATATATTGAAATCGCGTTTTCCATATGCATAAAGAAGTCGAGCTCAGTGTCTAAGGTTTTGCCTTGGTCTTACATGTATAGAGTCTAAATAGGTTGTTATATCATTTATTGAATAACAAAGGTGATAGTTACTGATGTAGGATTGCTTATGCATGTCGTTTATTACCAAGTACTGAAGTAATAATCTATCTTTCTAAATTTTCCAGATATCGTACTTTTAAGATTTAAACGGTAATTTATTTTACACTTTGGAAATGAACAGTCTTTAGATTACTATGATGGCTTTAACTTCAACTTTTATAACGCCATATAAGCATAAAAAATCATTACAAATGATTTTCTTCAAACGTTTTCTTAGTAATTATGAAAAATCAATAAAGAAGTGACTTCTGATCACGGAAGTTCTCAAAACATCTTTTTCAGCCTAGGATCAGTTTTGCTTGATTATCGTAAATTAATCTGTTGAAAAAATTGAATAACTCCTATTTTGCATTTTTCAATTTAGCTATTTTTACCTGCATAAAACTCAATTCGCTATAATGCATTCGAAAGCAAAATTGATTCTAATATATTATTAGTAGTAGGAGTTTATTTTAAACGAATCTAAATCTCAACGATTATAATCGATTCGAGAAAAGAATCAATTTTTGTGAATTTTAGGCGAGAAAAAATAATAAAATACTGATGAAAATCGATTCTAATTGACTAATAAAAATCACAGACAATCGATTCTAATTGACTAATAAAAATCACAGACAATCGATTCTAGTCGCTTTAATCGATTTATGCGATTCAAGTAAAAATATCGATTAAAATCTTTAATTTAATCAGAAGAAAATGATAATTGCTCGATTTTCATCAATTATTGGTGGTGCGAATCGATTATAATCAAGAATATGTTGATTTTTCGCGTCCATATTTTTGCATGGGCTACTGTAATTGTTTTGAAGGGCGTAAAGTTTCTAATGGTTTGGTTTCGCTTCGAATAAATATCATCATTTTCTCGTAACTGCTCGATGCACCAACATTAATGCAACGTACGGATATGGTTTCTACAACTTATGTGAAAGCAAAAAGCAGCATTCTGGTATCATTATCTGCTAGATGCTTTAGATAGTCATTCTTGGGGACATACAAAAATCTATGTTTCAATCTTCTGCTGATCTTGAGAGGTGAGGCCTGGCTATGTATTAGTATATTTCAAAAGGTAATCGAAATCCATAGCAATATAAAATATATTTGCATAGTCACACTTTTTAATGCAATAATAAACTGTGCAACTCAATCCTTGTAGTAGTACTGATTGCAACCCATTATTTGGTCGATCAGTAAAATGGCATGCATTTGGGAGATAAAAAATTGAATGAATTCAATTTTTTATTTATGATGACTGGTTTCAACTAAATAACCATAACCTTGCGGGTGTGGGTGTCAGTGTGGGTGCTGTCCTTTGAGTCATCTCTACGCCCACCTTAAAGATTCATACCATATTACACAGACTGTAATATTACAAAGAAAATAGTAAATCTCTCCTTATTTTATAGAGATAAATATAAAATATAAAACACTAAGCACACTACTCATTATACTCGGCACATAAGACATTATTGCTGAAGAATTATGATAGAACTCAAATTAACTATTATATACTCCATTGTACAAGTGAGAAACAATAGTCTTGTGGAATTTTTTGCCGTGCACCCCTACAATTTTGTTTATTATGCACCGGAAATCTTCCTTGCTCTTTTCTCTTTAGTCTATGTATGACATAATACACTTTCGATGACATAAATTCCTTTGGCTATTCGATCATTCAAGAATAAATATTTTTCCTTCATTTTATGCGCAAATATTTATTTTATATGCCAATGAATTTTAAATATTTTACCATATTCATGCTTGAAGGGAAAAAATGTTTTTAATGATTCGAAAATATGCACAACTATTAGTATATATTCATGTGTATTAACAGTTTCAATTAGTTTTAATACTGATCGAAAAGAAGGATTGATTTTGTACTAGATTTAAAATTACTACGATGAAGCTCAACATTGGTTTAATATTTTGTGGTATGATTTTGTGTTGTACTTACTCAATATCATTTGCAGATCCAATTGAAACAGAGGATGAATTTATGGCTTCGCTGACAGAGCCGCAACGGCAGCTATTAAATAATTTAGAACAAGTAGTCCTTTCTTCTATCATTAATGCTACCACGAATGGAATGCGTGGCAGAAGCCCTGTAAACAACACTCTCGTAGAGAAAGTGAAAACCCTTCAGCGATCGTTGACACCATTACAAGGGCGATTCTTTGGCTCCATCGGTAATGCTATTGGTGGCTTCTTCAAAAAAGTTATTGGTAGCACCGTTAATAAAGTTTTTGGTGGTTCCTTGACTAAATTTGTTGGTGGCTTCCTTGGAGGACAAGTCTGCTCGAATGTTTGCAAACGCGTTATTGGACGTCGCTGATCTTTGACAGCTCTAAATAAATTAAAGAACAGATCAATCTATCTTTTAACGTAAAGACAAATCAATCTGCTATTCCCAACTCTTGCTTTTCAACAATCGATCAAAGTCGAACACTAAATTATAATATTGAAATTCTAAATAAAATTGTGCTTTAAAGTTAAAATAATTAATTAAAGAAATGCAGAGTTTAATTTTGTCGACATGTTTCGTGCTATTTGTTTATATAATAAAACACTATTCAGGGCTCTGCATTACAATAAAAGGACAGAAATTGAAAATTAATTATTGAGGTCGAGGATTTCGAATCCGTTATTATTTTTTCGATCTGAGCTCCCATCGATCAGTTATTAGGTCCATCAAAAATTCGGTGACTGTAAAGTTAGACATTTTATTTCAACTCCTATCTCAATTTTGGTCGAAGCTTGAAATAGGTTATCGAGGTCTGGAAATCCAATTCCGTCATCACTTTTTTGGTTCGAGCCTCCGTTGATCAGAAATTGGGTCCATCAAAAAATCGAGGGCTGTAAAACAAGTAGCACTCATCCTACGTATTCGCTGACCCTTTTCTGAAAAAATAAAAATGGTACTTCATTGTGAATTACAAAGCAGTCTACGATGAACTTGTAGGAATTTTGTTTCGGAAGATAGTTATGCAACACACTAATAATTCCGTCGTGATTTATTGCTTTATTCAACAAGTAACGCGACCTTAATGTCGCTAATCCACTACTAAAAGGATATAAGCATTCAAANATCAATCACGAGGATTAGTCATAGTCGAAAATATTACGTAACAAATCAAAATAGAGATCATAACAACAGATAACACGAATAAACGTTTAGCGTCAGTGAGTGCCATCTACTGACGCTAACACTAATATTCTATAGAGAGAACTATTGATTTAAAATATCAGACGAAATGCAGAAATTCGTCGAACTTATTTTTCATTTGAAGACTGGAGCTTAGATAAATAAAATGGAAGTTCCTAAGCTGATTTTTACTCAGTATGGTTCATTTTATATAGTACGTTGCGAGAATGTCAAAGAAAATATTCATAAAAATATATAATACATATGTTAATCATATTTCTTTTGTGTAAGAAACTCTTTTAGTCATTTCAAAACTACCTTGCAACCATAAGCACCAATAATCAGAGTTCATCAAGATTTGTTCATTATAGAAAGTCATTGTGACATTTTGGTCTTCATCAAAATTCAGTAAAATTTATTTTTGTTCCATAAAACCACGATGTAGCTTAACAAATGATAACTTTAACAAAAATAAGCTGAAACTCCAATACGGATAGCAGTATAAATGCTAAAAGAACAAACAACTATAAATGAGAGAAGATTATCAAGTGAACAGGTTGGACTAACGTCTCATTCACATTAATTATATAACAAAAAAGAAAATCGCACACTCAAAATAACATTGTTAACGGCGGAAACTGATCAGCGAACTATTCGAGCCAAGTAATATCTAGCATTGGTACCACCGGTGATCAGAAACAATGAATAGTGATGCTTTACAGCGGTTGATTTCGATTGCATTCTTCTAGAAAGAATCTTGTATAGTACATTTATTTGAAGAGTGTAATTGAGCATTATGAATTAAATTGCGCTAAGAACATGTTTCTATAACGCCATTAGTGAATGTATTCATCAAGAGAGTACTCGCACTAGAAAATGCCGCGAGGACTCATGAGTACTCGCCCTGTAAACTCGGGTGTTTTCAGAGTACTCATCATACATTTCCTGAGTACTCTCGTGGATTTTTGTAAAGTACTCAGACATCTATATTTTGTTCTGCATCTTTGTACTGCGTTCAATTTATATTATTTAAAAATTGATGATAGAATAGTGACGTGCACAATAAAAATTTCAGAAACGAACTGTTTCATAATCTTAAATGCTTTTTAATTAGGACACAGAGATAAAACAGTTATTAGCAGAATGTAAGAAAAACTAAATGAAATCTCTATTGGGAATATTACAAAATATGTAAACACAAACATACGCACAAATGAGAAATAAAGTATGCATCGAATTAAGATACACGATAACAATACACATTCACTTTAGATCGTTACAAAAATATGAACATTTTAAATCGAAAGCTATAATCGTTAAGTAAAAAATAAAAAAATTACGAACTGTCTTCTATATGATAGATGCTTCTTCAGAATATTGAATTTCATGTTTTTGGAAAAGATTTCTCAGTCGTTTTGTGTTTCATTAATTTTCAGAAAAAATTTAATTTTATCTAAAACAATATTTCATCTTTGATTTAAGATAAAAAATAAAATAAATAATTTTGTATTTTCAAATAAGTATTTGGTCTTACTTGAGAGATGAATAGCTGAAATGAAATAAATTTGCTTTTCTATTCTTTAAATAGCCAATTGACTACTGCACATGGGTGGCTCATCACAAAATACGGAGGATGAAATTGATAATTTGTTTAAAAAGCTTTTTCAAAATTTTCAATTCATTATACAGTTGTTATTAACTATGCAATATTATTTTATTTTCCCGCATCCTAGTGCATAGATGTTTTGCTGAATGCGTTCGAAAAAACGACGATGAGTACTACGTTGAGTAGTCCTATTTTCGGGTACAAGTATTTCTTAGAGAGACAGCTCATTGGAGTACTCTTAATAGTACACGAAAAGTATTGTTACACATAAAACTCATCGAGTACTTTCACTAAGCCATGGACTACGTGTCTTTTTTAGATCATCTTCACTCTTTCGAACCCCCATGGGGAATAAAACAATTAATTTACATATCTATGGAAACAAAATAACAGTCCATAGAAGCGCCAAATTCCAATTGTATGTTATTTATTTTGTTTGCAATAAAAGGAGCCAAAAACTATGCACATTTTCAGAAGTATATCCGATATTGATTAATAATTAGATCTTGATTGATGGTCTGACAAAGATACTTTTCAAGTAGTATGAATCTAGGAATCAAGAATCAATCTCATAACTTATGTCAACCTATATGCTGTATACATGAAGAGAGATATACGATGAAAGGCGTTTTTCCTTGAGTGTGCAATAGTAATACATGGAAGTATGCTTTCGATGATATCATTTCCTTCGGTTATTCCATCATTTAAGAATAAATATTCTTCCTTCATTGTATGCACATATATTTATTTTATATGCAAATAAATTTTAATTATTTTACCATATTCACGCTTGAAGGGAAAAAATATTTTTAATGATTCGAAAATATGCACAACTATTAGTATATATTCATGTGTATTAACAGTTTCAATTAGTTTTAATACTGATCGAAAAGAAGGATTGATTTTGTACTAGATTTAAAATTACTACGATGAAGCTCAACATTGGTTTAATATTTTGTGGTATGATTTTGTGTTGTACTTACTCAATATCATTTGCAGATCCAATTGAAACAGAGGATGAATTTATGGCTTCGCTGACAGAGCCGCAACGGCAGCTATTAAATAATTTAGAACAAGTAGTCCTTTCTTCTATCATTAATGCTACCACGAATGGAATGCNACGACGACAAAGTCGATTATTAAAACATGTTTAGCTCTCTATTTTTGGCAGACTAAATATTAGTTCTACCATTGCTACATAATCCCCAAACGAGAGCTAACAATTAGAACCTGCTTCTCGACAAAAAAATTGTCAAGCAATTTGTTTTATCAAAATAAAAATTTGATAATGATATGTTATCAAGAAACTTATCGATCTCGATAGATATAATGCCTTGTATACCGTAGGATCTTGCATGTTCTGATAAATGCGTCTCGATGTATTTATTGCAGAAATGACTTGTTCGCTTACTATATCCTTTATAGAAAAAACAAGCTTTCGTAAATCATATTGTAATTAAAATAGATATGCCAATGTCTTCAGACGATCTTCATAGTGCTTATTAGCGGATGCTTTTTATATTTTGTAGCTAAACAGGCTTTCAATACTATGTGAAGAATTTCTTGTAATAAACATGGCATTTTCAAAGATAAAAAATATTTCACTAGAATAGTTAAAGGTTCTTCAAAATATAAATCAAGAATTTTTTTGGATTCTTCAAGATTGATCAATAGAGATACTATGCCGAAAACATAAGTCACACATATCAATCCTTTCGCAAATCTATTCAGATTTCTAAATGCGGTTTACAAGTAGGATTTCTTAGTTCAAATACTTGCTACTCTATCGATAAATATTTTTATTAAAAATAATAAAATTTCCTGAACACTATAACAATTATTAAAAGCAAATTTAAGCAGCATACAACAGTTTTCAGTTGTTAATAGCGTCTAGTGAAAGTGCTCACTATTGCTCATACATAGCTTGAATCACTCTAAAACCACCCGATACATCTATATGTTGCTTCCTCGTTACATATGACGTCAAAATACTCTTTGGTGATACTTTAAAAAATGCTTTAAACTATATTTTGAATTCTAAATAGAAAAAAATTATCAAGCTAAGTTATACTTTATCAACTGTTTTAATTAGCATTAGTATATCCGAAATCATGTATGAATTAAAGCTCAGAAGATTGTGACCGATCGAAAGAGCTTAAAAAATGATCCTTGCTTTTCAATCATCCAATCATTCTGACTTTAAATAATACCATAAACCACGACACAATAAACCCTGCCCTCTGTGCAAATTGACAAGAGATCGCTGCTGTGTACCGTAAATCTTAATAAGTGACATTCACTTAATAATAATTCATTCGATGACTTTTTTATTTAGATTTATTACAGTTTCAGCAGCCTTCGTTAGAAAAATTGAGAAGTTCAAACAACAAAATTTTGTAAGAGTATCTTTAGTTGAAGAACGTTAGCGACCACTACTTATAAGCCGGCATGCTACCGAACAGCCAAGCCGACGACCCAAGCTTCGACCACGTAGGAATGCGCGTTGTTCAAGCTCCAGTGCATTAGTAAAGTCTTGTAATGCACTAACAGTAGCATTATTTCGTACTTCATTTATGTTTAAATTCTCTTGCACAGCCTTTTCAGTTGCATCTTGTAATTGACTTCTTATATCAGTCCATAATTTTACTTGCTCCGGCTCTAACATTTGCACAAATTCGTCTTCTGTTGGTAAAGAATTCGTTACGATTGGATCCGCAAATGATATTGAGTAAGTACAACACAAAATCATACCACAAAATATTAAAC